CTACATTTTCTCTAGTTTGGTTTTACCCAAATCTAAAATTGGATAAAAGCACAACAAAGAAATCCACAAAAGCTCAACATAATAGAAACATGTATCTTTTTTCAGTTTTTGTTGCTGTTCTTTTTTCCCCAGAAGGTATTACATTTGGGTAAAATCAAACTGGAGAAAATGCAGCACAAGTGTTGATCCACAAGATCAACACTTGATTCAGACACATGGGCTGTAGTTAGAAGACCTCCATAAGTATTCAGTGAATCCTACATGTGTTCATTTTGTAATGTGGGAGGAAACATGTAAGCAGCTAGGACTTTAAGGAGTAGGCCACCGTTTTTACACACTGACATATGCTCTGTCATGCAAACTGAGCACAAACACAGCCTCTTCCACTGTATAGTTCCAAATCGGCTCCCGTTAGAAGCTCCCAAACTCCTCCACGTGTTCCCTATTTAAATACAGTTACGTGACGTGTTACACTACCAAGTATAGTAATAATACGAGGAGCACTACGTCCATGCACTAACTCCCAAGACTTCTCTCCCGCTCACTTCCGTCAATAGCAGCGTGAGCGGGAGAGAAGTCTTGGAAGTTAGTGCGTGGACGTAGCGCTCATTGTGCTCCTTGTATTATTACGCCTCACAATATAGTGCCCCTTTTTATCCGCTGAGAAAATCGACATGTTACATTTCTGTGTTACTGTACTTGGTAGTGTAACACGTCATGTAACTTTATTTAAATAGGGAACACGTGGAAGAGTTTGGTAGCTTCTAACGGGAGCTGATTTGTTACTATACACTCTGTGGAAGAGGCTGCGTTTGTGCTCCGTTTGCATGACAGAGCACATGGACACAGACCAGACAGGTACATATCAGTCTAAGGTAAGAACATATGTCAGTATGTAAACACGGTGGCCTATTCCTTTAACCCATGACCTGTGTTTGACTGCTTAGCTCTGCACCACTGTGATGCAGAGCTAAGCAGTTTGTATTGCAGCACATTTGTATTTTAAATGTAATTTTTTTTTAAATATATTTCAGGTGTTTTTTTCTCCATCAACCCAGAGAAGGGAACCAAAGTGGAGAAAAGCAAAACCAAACGTCTTAATGTGAACCCCAGAGTCCTTACCTTGATTCAAGAACTTTCAGATCATGAGTGGTGTAATGTCTGAATATGGACTGAAATAAGTAAGGTTTGTGGGCTGCGATGGAGTTTTATATTGTTGTGACGTTCAATGTTTCAATTTGTTCTTCAGCTCTTAAATTAAGCTTAAACCCACATGTATTTTCTGTTAAAGGAATAGTTAAGTTTTTCCTTACTGAAATGTTCTTACCTTAGGTTAGCCCAGCTGATGTGTACCTTTTGCTCTTTGTGTAATGTCACATCTGAGACATTTGAAGCTAGCGAGCTCTGCCATGTTTATTCTATTTTTAAATTCAGTGACGTGAAGTGTAGTTACACCGAATTTAAACATTGATTTTCTAAGCGGAATAAAAATAACTTATGTTGTGAGGCGGAATAATACGAGGAGTACTTCCACACACAATGCTTCAAAGACTTCTCTCATGCTCACTTCAATCAATAAAAGGAAAAAATGGAAATTAATAACTGCTTGACCCCAGTCTGAGCTAGTCACGCTGTTTTTTTATTTCTATAGTTTCTATTGACTGAAGTGGGCGGGAGAGAAGTCTTTAGGAGTTGTACGCGATACAAGTGCCCCTTATATTATTCGGCCACACAACATGGGTCCTCCTTTTTATCTGCATAAAAAATAAACTTAGTTTAAATTCTAAATGGCTTGCGTAATGGCTTGGATCAGATTGCATCATACAAGCCAAAAAAGTCTTTTGTTTTAATTATTTTTGGATGGAGATAAGCATATTTGAGAATATTTTATTTGACATTAGTGTTTTACAGTGAAATATTTTGACATTTGTTTAAAACGGTCTTAGTATTGACTTTTGGCACTGTAGTGTTGTCACTGAATATACAGTAAAGTTTCATTTTAATTTATTTTGTGAAATGACTCATTTAATGCAGCTTTTAGTTAAGCAATGTTGAAAGTGCAATATTTTTCAGGGAAATGTCAAAGTACATACAAAACATTAAACTTGTAAACTGTACTGAAAAAGATTGTTTAAATAACAAGGTGGTAACTTATAAAAAGCATAGTAAACCTGTACATTTAGCTGAAAAAGATCGTTTTAATAATTAGGTGGTTATGTATAAAAAGCGTAGTAAACATGTACTTTTTACTGTAAAAACTAGTTTTAATAGTCACAAGGAGATCCAATCGGGACATGTGTGAGAAGGACACAGCTAAAGAGGTACTGCTGCATTTTGTATCATAAGATTTTTGGTACAATTGTAGATTGTCATTTTACATTTTCCACGTGTTTGTAGATGGTGGAACTGCAGGAAAACCCTGGTGACCGAGAGATCCTTAAAGATTATAATTCTGTGAGATCACTAAGTCACCGCTCTCGAAGACAACTTGTCGACCTTCTCGTCAGTGACATGAGTGAAACACATGGGTATGTTGTATCCCTCAGTTATTACTCAAAAGTTCCTTCTTACAAGTGGAAGGATATTTACTCAAAATAAAATGAAAATCACTTGAAAGACCTTTCACAATAATCACATAACAATTCAGTTTCTCTCACCACTGTTATTGATTCCCCATTGTAAGATAAATAGTACTTATCTCTTTTATAAATGACCTAGGTAGATGTTCTCCTGTAGATTATCTCTTTGTTAGGTCCCCGTGAAAATATGTACTTGTAGATACTATTAATTTAGCCTTTTTATGTAACCATGAAGTCCTTTGACCATGAGTGTTTTTCTTTCCTTAGACAAATGCCTTCCCGAAAACAAAAAGAAAGCTATGCTCTTAGAATTATCACACTTTTTTCTTCATTGAAGGATCCATTTTCTCAAAAAGTTTATGTAAGTATTGTTAATGTATCCATGGAAATTGAATTTGGTTTATCTACACATGTTTTGTGTCGGTAATGGATATGTATAGATACCAATCATAACTGTACACTTTGTTTTCAGACTAATCAAGCCTCGTAATGAGACGGTGACCTATTTGCTTAACACAATATCTGCAATACAATGTGAACAATAAGTCCACATTTCCACCATGTTGATAAAGACGACATTGTGTGTAAGTGTTTTACTGTTTCTTCCTTGTGTGACGTTACTGTGACTTGCGTTTGATTTTTATTCATATCACTCTTTTGATTGTTTTCTAGCGGCCTGTAAGACTTATTATGAGACGGTTCGCAGGAGCCATCAAAATGCCAAGCCAGAAAACTCATTGAGGGCGGATGTGGCGAAGAGTTCAGCTCAGAGTCGAGCGAGAAGAAAGAGGGTAAGACTAAACTGCATCGCACAGTAAGGCAAGGGAGGTTTATTTGTGTAGCACACATACACAAGGAAACTCAAAGTGCTGAGCAAAAGAAAGCATTAAATAATCACAGTACATTAACAAAGATAAATATAAATTCCCTCAGTTGTAGCACAGCTAAAGTGAGACAGGCCTCTTCTCTGACAATGTTTAAAACCAGGTTAAAAACAGTTCTGTTTAGCTGTGCTACAACTGAGTGATTTTATATTTATCTTTTTTAATGTACTGTGATTATTTATTTTAATGCTTTCTTATTTTGCTCAGCACTTCGAGTTGCCTTGTGTATGAATTGTGCTAGACAAATAAACTTGCCTTGCCATCGTACTTCCTGGTTCTGGTTAGGACTTGAGCTGCTGCATTTTGAATGTACTGCAGCTGTTGTTACAGTAGTCTAACCTACTGCAGACAAATGCATGGATAAGAATCTCCAGGTCTGCTTTAGACACTATGTTTTTGATCCTGGCAATGTTTAGATGGGGAAAAAAGATTTGATGTGGCCAATAATATTTACTGATTCTTTCAGCTGGTGGAATCGAGACTGAGTGTGCTAGAAAGTGACAAAGTGGAACTCTGGAAGTCCGCCACGGTAGACCTAATGTCCAATGAAGAAGGCGTTGTGGACGGTGTCTCTGGGTGGATTGTCTTTTCGAAAGCCGGAGTTTTCTGAACTCTGTGTCAAGCTGCAGTCCTGGTTAGAGGCGGCACGGAAGTACAGAGCCACGCACATTAAGCGTCTATCTAGAACCCTGCCAAATTACAACCCAGAGGAGGCTATTTGGACAGTTCAGAGTTGTAATTTTTTAATTACCTATGTGTGAGCATAAAGCTGTGTGTGTGTGTTTTAATAAAGCTTTCTTTGTATGAACATATTCCTGGAAAATTTTCATTTCCTCTATAAATAATATGAATAAATATATATTTATATGAATATTATTTAATTAATTATGAGGCAGGGTGACCAATAGTGACAGATCTGCTAGCCAATCCCGAGAGATTATACTTATTTGAAAGTAGTGATTTCATCCAATGGGGAGTAAGCTACCAATGGGGAGTAATCCCACGTGGGCTGGCCACGTGTGATTTTTCAGCCAATCACGAGTTTGAAAGTAGTGGTATCCGCCAATGCTGAATAGCAGCCTGGCCAGCCGCTGCATTCATATGCTAATTAGGGCCATTAGCCTCGGCCGGCCGCAGTGTTTCGCTGCATTCATATGCAAAGTAGGGACATTAGCATGGTACGGATACGGCAGTTTGGAGGACAGGGCACCCTAACTGCGCCTTTTGAAAACTGCCTGAGATACCCGAAAAAGAGCGTGATTTCCTGCCGTTTAGGGTGACGAAAATCTAACTTTTCATGCAGTGCACCTGGATACGTCTATTTCGGCTTTTGGCCCAAATACGTCTAAAAGGGCTTTTGGCCTCTTATCTTACACTCCACCACATTTGAACATAAATACAGCACCATTAATGCATTTGTGTTTCATTTATTGAATTAGAATTTTTATCAAAAAAATATTTTGGCACATCATTATATGTAACAGCCTTACATACATACAGTATATAATGCATATTTCTTCTACACACTTTGTTGCAGATGGACGCGTCGTGAACAGGCTGACTTCTACAGGACCATATCGTCATTCGGGGTGGTATTTGACCCTGAGAGGAAAGTGTATGACTGGTCCCAGTTCAGAGCGTTGGCCCGGCTGGAGCGGAAGACCGACGAGAGCTTAGAGAGATACTTCAACTCTTTTGTGCACATGTGCCGCACGGCCTGCAAACTCCCCCCCAGGAAGGAGGAAGGTCAGCGGCCACTCCCAATCACTCTACTCTTAATCAATCATCAGTTAGATCTTAAATTTTTCTTGTTTATTTCTGTGCCCTATAGGTTTAGTGGACCCTGCTCTTGTTGTGGAACCACTCACTGAAGAGAGAGCGGCAAGAACGTTGTACCGAATTGAACTGCTGCGGAAGATCCGGGAGCAGGTAAAGTACATTACCTTTGCTTTGGATGGGAGTTTTAAAACTAAATGAATCATTTACTGTAATCTTTATTTCCATTCAGAAAGTCTAGAATGTTAAATGTTTTCAAATGGTGTATCTGCTTGTTTTTATTGTATAAGTTTGAAATAATAATACAAAAAATATTTAAAATACTTACCGACTAAAATTCAGTTAAAAAAGCATCAATTGGATTCTTTTTGCTTCAATTTGGTCTCATAATTCCCTTTTGGCACATTTGGAGGCGCTGACACACCAAAGTGTAACATTTTCTACTGCGCATATTGTGTGCACCATGTGCACTTGCATATTGTACATAGTAACTGAATTTATCCTATTTTAAATTGTATTCCTTAGAAGTGTATGCTGATTCATTATGCCTTACTGTATTCTCTTTTTTCTGACTGTTGCACTGAGTCAAAGCAATTTCCAAGTCTGTGACTTCCTGTTACTTACGTGGCAAGAAAAATCATTCTGATTCTGATTGTAAATAGGGAAGTTTGAATATAGCAGGAGATTTTGTCATAGGGAAGACCGGGAACGATGGGAGATATAAGAAGACAATGGTTCTTCTTTAAATTGTTAAGAAACAAAACAAACAATATTTCTCCTTCTGGTATCCTCAATTTTGGTAAGTGCTTATGCATTTCCACGTCATGGTGAGAATTCCTGGTCCAAAAATCTCAATCAATCAAAATGTTTGTTTCAAAACCGGTACAACACAATTTTCCAGAAGAAAAAAGAAACCCCGAACAGCAGACTTTTTTGAAAAGTGATTGGGATGGAGCATACACCTCATCAGCCCAACAAACAAATGATTTGTAAAAAAAAGACAAGAAAAAAGGAACAATACAAAAGCAAACGGTAGAAAACAAACTCACTAGAATAGGCAATTGGACCTTTGAGCCTTTGACTGTCCTTGTCCGCTGTATAAAGTACACATTACACTTTCAGGCAGTACAGTGCCTGAATATTAAAAAAGTTTACACAAAAAATACTGAGGCAAAAAACTTTGTTCCCTCTTACATATATGAAACAATATGTGTATGACACTTGCCTTTAATAGAACTTTATTCCTCGGTACCTCGGCTACTGAATGTACTCTCTTTCAGGTTCTGCGACACCCCCTCCTCTCCTCGCGCCTTCAGCTGTGCCGACCCTCGCTCTACCTGCCTGTGTGGTGGGAGTCTGGGAAGCACGACCGCGACCTGCTACTGGGCGCGGCCAGGCACGGGCTCAGCCGCACAGACTTCTACATCCTCAACGATCCACAGCTCACCTTCCTAGAGGCGCACCGCAACTACGTCCGAGGCCACCCCAGCCACCATCACCACGCAGGGATGTCCTCGCACCCTGGCATGCCTCCCACCTCCGCTCAGATACCCCACTGCTGCATGTACGACTCGGGCATCCAGCCACCAGACTATCACCATCAGACCCACCAGCATCACGCAGTGCCTTCGCCCGCTCAGCCTTTGGACCCTCACGAGCCAGCGCAGACTGGCCTTGGGATGCCTGGTGCGCGGACGGCTGACTTCATGGATTGTCCCTCTCTAGATGAGTCCCTGGAGCTGGGATCTCTACAGCATGATGCAGACGCCCTACATGGAGGGAAAGGCTCCAAAGATGCCCTCAACGGGTTCCCCTTTAACTCTGCGGCCGGGGGACAGAGCATGCTGAACTCATACGGTGTGGGCGCTGCCGATCTGGGCTCCAAGCTGAGGAGCGATGTGCTGGTGGGGGAACAGGGGTCCTCTGAGGAGAGCGGACTTATGGCCCCGTCTGTAGAGCTCAACCACATACAGGTAGGAGCATGTTGAGAATCATGGATTGTAGCACACACATCATAGCTCGTAACTCAGAAAGGGACAAAGAGTGAACTTAGAGCTGTTGTAGGCCTAAAATGTACATACAAAATATTTGGTCTTTTGAAGTCGCAGTTGTGCAGTGAACCAGTCTCCATCTCGTCTGTAACCAAGAAGGGATGTGTCGTCATAGAAACGTGCATCGACAAATATGCAAAGAACCAGACCTGTGACATGGGACCAATACTGTACATTATTATTTAAATGTAACCTAGTCAAGGCAAATTTATTTGTATAGCACAGTTCATACCCAAGGCAAAGTGCTGAACAAAACCAGATGGAAACAATCACACAAGGCATTAAAATTCTAAATAATCACAGTACATTAAAAGTAAGATAAAATCACTTAAAACAGTTGTATGCACAGCTAAACATAACTGATTTTAACCTGGATTTGAACATTTTCAGAGCAGCCAGTCTCACATTTTCAGGAAAACTGTTCCAGATTTTAGCAGCATGAATCTGAAAAGCTGCCTCCCCTTGGTTAGTTTTGACTCTTTGGTGTGAGGCCGTGCTTTAAAGTCCATTCCCTGCGTATTAACTGATCTAACGGCAGCATGTAGAGATTGTCCCAGGATTAACCATTGTAGCCCTCCACATGTCAGGACCATATGTTGTGAAACACAGTTTCCAATCTCCAAAGTACTTCCTGTCTTCAAGGCAAGACTTAAACCAATTTAGGACGGTAACAGTGACACCAACCCAGTCCTCTAGTCTCTGTAAGAGGATCTCATGGTTGACTATGTCAAAAGCAGCTCTCAGATCTAACAAGATTAAGATTGAGATTTTGCCTGCGTCAGTGTTCAGTCGAATAGTGCTTGTTACCTTCAGAAGAGTGGTCTTGAGCTATTGTTCCCAATTGAAACAATAGCTCATAATAACTGGTATCAAACGAGTTGGACATTTGGTAAGTGGTTGGTAGACAACTTTTACGAGGACTTGTGATTATCTCTTGTACAGTTTCATTGTACTTTGTACATTCATTGAGGCGGCAGGGCAACTGACATCAGCCATCACTGCAGACGTCAGCAATCACGACTGCGCCAATGTTGGCGCCAGATTCCAAATTAAAATTTAGTAACTACAGGTTGCCTGCAGATGGCGCCTCACTGACGGTTTTAGGCAGAAAGTTGATCTTTCAACTAATTTGCACTAAAGTGACAAAATTATGACCAGGACTATTGGACACTCATTTATACCGTTTATCAGCCAAAAAAATAAAGGATTTGAGGGTGAGTTTTCCTTTAATATAACATCACAAATTATTTTGGGGGGTGTACAACAACAACAATTTATTTGCCATTTGCAGTAAAACCATATTGGAAAAACTGCAAGACTACCCTAGTGTGCACCAGGCAACTCCCATTGTTATTGGCTTGTGAAAATGTATGTTTAAATGTTGTACTTACTCCTGAAACTCATTGGCGCAAGTATTGATGCAAAAGGATTCAACTTTTCCTAAGCAGTTTTTATTTTTTTTAAACAGATTAAAAAATAATATCAGAACTAGTACATAACCCATAAATGGCTTCAGTATCTGTACAGATTACAACATAGATACATTATTTCATGAAAACGGTGCACCGTTTCCTTCTTAAATGTAAGTCACGTGCAAACACTGGTTTGCTGACCCCAACTGTGTTCACAGGCTCCGTGGGACACCACAGAGGCCTCTAGCCCGGCCCACCACATGTTCAACGAGTCGGACCCCATCCTGGGCCCGTCTGGCCTGGAGCCGGGCTTCCTGGAGGAGGATGAGGAGGACACCAGGGGGGCAGACAGAGCGGAGGAGGGAGCCACGCTGGAGGAGTGTCTGGGACTGCCCCCCTCTGCCTCCCCCTCTCACACGTCAGCTGGGGACGCCTCTACATACATGCTGTTTAAGGTCAGTGCTTGAACCTGTCAGTGCTTAAACTGTATTGGAGGACAAGGAGGTTCCTTATAAATATCGGCTGATTTTGTCTATACATTTGGTTAATACGTCATCCAAAGCGTCGGTATACATTGAAAATACATGGTGGACGCGCCTTGAGGAGCGTCGAGAGATCCTGCAGCGTGTCACGTGCCTCCCGAGCAGCTCGTCTTTGAGTGTTTCTCGCTTCAGACGCGGCACGTTTTGAGATTTCAAGCGTTTTGACGCGCATCCCGCGCCTCCAACGCAGCCGATGCTTGAGTTGAACATTGTTGAACAGATGCTGTCACAGAGGGCCTCCAGAACGCTCTGACAGCGTCTGCCAGAATCAGTCACAAGCGTCCAACGACGCGATTTTGACGCCCGAAACGCGTTTGGTCTGAACTAGTACATAGAGTTGGGCATGGTCTGGGCTGTCATTGACTGCTCACTTGTCAATCACAGCCAGGCGGGTCCCAGCTCAAAAACGTCCATGAGCACATGTGCTGACATACTTGCAATGCCACCCCGGGCCGGAGGGGGTGGACCCAGAAAAAGAGAATTATCCAATGCTTTTGTATGGCATCTTCTTACCTCTCTAAAACTGCTTTAAAGGATGATCCAAAAGTTGGCTCATGATCCAAAGCTACGTTCCAGATGCTTGTCAATGCTGAGTGGAGTAAATTTTTTTGGGCCGCTATGGATTTCAGAAGGCACTTGTGGCTGCCGGATTCGTCCCGGAAATCTTATTCGTCCGAAAGTTCAGTTTGCGCATGTCAAAAAGTGTAAATAAACATGTAAACAGTTTGTCTTGTTATATACAGAATATAATATGGATTTGATCCTTTACTTGTTTAACTAAAAAATAAATGTGTTCAACGAGACAGTGAATCTTATCAAGAATTAAACTGTCTGTGTTTCCCACATTTCCGTGTGCCTTTGAACGCATCTGGGCACTAGCTGTGCGGCTACTAAAAGTATTTTTTGCTCTGAGCTCTTTTTCCGCCATTTCTCATAATTAACCTTCATACATGTGAGCATAAATCAATATTATATTCTGTATATAAGACGAACTTTTTACATGTTTTTTCACACTTTTTGACATGCGCAAACTGAACTTCCGGACAAATCAGGTTTCCGGGACGAATCCGGCAGCCACACACTCATTAAATCAATGGGGCTGGTGACTGCTAACGTATGCGCAAATGCGTTTTTTCACATTTTCCTGTGGGAGGGGCTGCCCGCGGCCATTTTGTAAGATGGCGACAGAGCAAGTAGGCTTATGTGGGGAATTCAAGTTTAAAAAGAATATGCGCGTGACAGCGGGGTACTTGCTGTTGTTTGCTGTATGAACTCAAACGGGAGTCCGCATCCTCAGTGGTCACAGCGTTCTGACCCGGGGCAGCTGCGGCCGCTCTAGACAGCGGTTCCCACCTCCAGTGGCTGTGAGCCTCTTTGACAAAAACACTGCAAACGGCGTCGCCATAACGTGGTCATATCCAAGACCATACACACACAGAACTATTTTCTGATGGTTGTGTGCGTGTGTTTGCGTAACCTGTGCATGAAATAAATGCACCGCTGCAGCTGGACTATGGAGCCTCAGGGAGTGTCCTTGTCTACTCCGTGTCTCATCCGTGTCTCCTTCTGATGCGCAACTAAACTCTCTAAATTAAAGCTGGGGTACCAAATTTTACACATTCTGCATTTCAGACTTTTTTTAAATGTCCCATTTTATAGTTTTGATCTGTGTCTGCTACAGAAAGTTAGAATGTTAATAATGTTAATGCCATTTTTAAGCTGTAATCAACTCGATTAAAAAAAGGGATTTGTTTGACAGCCCTTATATAAATATATATATTAGGGTTGACAAAATTATTGCGTTGACGCACGTTAATTACATTTCTCATTAATTGCGTTTTTTTAACGCATTGACGCAAGTCCGAATGACCCGCCCATGTATCCCATGTATCCCATATCACTCAGAATTCCGCGCCAAAATTACGCCTGACTGCGCCGCGGAGGTGTGCATGCTCCAGGCTTCCACAACGGATGCACTATCTATCTTGAGTTCACATCCCAGACGTTGAAGCTATAGTTATTTCCTCTATGCGTGTCAGTCACACTGTAAAAAACATCTGACTTGAATGAAAACATAAACAAAAGAGTAGCCTTTATCAGACAATTCAAGTAATTTCCACTATATTAAATACACTGTGTACACTGTACTCTACACTGTAGATAAGCAATAACAAAATTATGCAGAGCTTGAATTGCACATGCAGCACTGATTATTATCATTAACCTACAATGTTCACTTAACTTGTGCTGTGTGCTCCCCTTTCCTTCTGTTCCATTACTTGTGATGCAACACTGAAATTTCCCCGCTGTGGGACGAATAAAGGATCTCTTAATCAATGCTGTATATGCAAAGTTGGGTGGATGACAAGTACCTCAATAGCCACTTTGTGTTAGCAAGGCACAGGGCCACATAAAATGACACAGCTGCTGCATATGGCTCGCAGGCCTGAGTTTGGACATGCCTGGTATTGACGTAAAAACTGTTCTTTTCATTCTGTAGGATATTGGCGTCACAGAGGAACCCAGCGCAGATCAAACCGACCTATCAGTGAGCCCTCCACCGCCTTATGTCCCACCCACTCCACTGTCTCTTTCTGACATCACGGAGCATGGAACGCAGGATGGGCTAGACCGCAGCGACGTGTCCCACGCCACTGAGGAGGGGGAGGGGCAAGACGCAGTCGCCGGCTTCCCTTTTGACGGGAAGGACAAGGAGGAGGAGATGCAGAGAAATGGCGACAGCGAGCACATGGACACTGAAGGAGGTATGAGATTAGATGGGTAGAGCAGGAACGAATGGGTGAAATTGATCGAACTAATTTCACTGATAACTTGGTATTGTAAATGGTTCCAATCTTGTTTTAAGCGTTATTTCTGATGCAAGTCACTCAATTACAAGGGGCACGATAGCTTAGGCTTCCGTCTCTGCTTTTTCATTATGTTCTTGCAGCTATGAAAATGTGGTCTTCTTGGATTGTAGGCACAGACCCGGTTATGATGATGGATGTGTCTGGGGACCTTCAAGGCACTTACAGCGAGACGGTAGACCCCTTTTTGGGCAAGCTGGACCAGGACACCTCTCTAGCCTGTTCTGAGTCCTTGGGGGAACCTGGAGAGGATGTGGACCAAATCATTCTGTACCAGGCCATGGAGACCGGGAACTCCCTCAATACAGACGTCCTGATGGACAACGCCACAGACAACTTTTTGGAAACGCCCAATATTCAGAAGGAATGTATCATGCAGAACAACATAGAAGCAGTTTCAGCAGGGAAACCGGATCCGGTGTCGCTGATGGAAGTCCAGATGCTGCAGCCCGATGAAGACGGCAGAGAGAAGGCAGTCAAAGAAAGTGAAAATTCTCAAACCAACACGCAGCCAAGCGATGATGGCGTCCAAGTCAAAAGCGAAGCAACTGCTGACGAAGATGTCAAAAGCGAAGCAGCTGTTGACGAAGTCGTCAGAAGCAGCTTTGAAAACAAAATCAAACCACACCCATCACTTTTCCAGAAGAGTACAGATTTTTCAAACTTCCTCGCAAATGAGGAAGTTGAGAAGAAGCCACAGCATCTGCTGATCAAAATGGAGCATGCTAAGGAAGAAGAGGTGTTGGTAAGATTGGCTGATGCTACGGAGGAGAAAACACTTGTTTGTTTGGTGAAAGAAGAAATGTCGACCAAAAGTAAGCAGCTAGACATTCCGATCAAGGATGAAGGCATACCAGAAAACCTGTCCTTAAAACAGGAAAGCATAGACAATCAGGTATATTCAGATGAAATCAAAAGCGAAACCAAGCCCTTTGAGTTTCAACCTTCCTTCACCGAAGTGAAAGCTGAAGCAAAAGCAGAAGACTTGTCGATGATTACAGATAGTGTGAAATTGGAGGTGAAGACAGAGGGGCTGGAGCTGTGTGCCGATGGTAGGCCGGTGAAAGCAGAGCCTGGAGTGGAGGGCCTGGAGACGGGCAAAGAGGAAGCTAAGCAGGTGCCGGCAGAAGCCGACAGCACGGTGGTGACACCCAGGACGGAGCTTGCTGAAGGAGCAGAAGGACCGGAGAACTTCTGCAAAAGCCAAGGGAAGGAGGAGCGGATCCATACGCCAGGTGATAGATTTGACACCAACGACAAAGGGGACGTTGACAAAGGGGACGATGACAAAGAAATTAAAGTTGGAATAAATAACTTTAAAGCCCCAAAAATAACTATAGTTGCGTTTCCACCGCAGGAACATCGGGGTAATTTTTCAGGGCCAGCCCCATTGTTGTGTGTCCCCACTGCTGGACCCTTTCCCACAGGGCCATTTACAGGAACTTACTGTATATGGGGCCCAACGGAGCGCCTCCTCCAAAGTAGGTACTCGTTTCGGCCCTGAACAGCTTCTGGTTGGGGCTTGACGTTAGCAAAAAGCTAGAGCAGGCTCTGCCGGCATCAGAAAGCACCAAAACAACTGCCATTTTTTAAATCCAGCGGCATTAGCCTAGCAGATCCCACTGGACACAGCAAACAACAATAGCAAGATGTACAATAAATCGGCGGATGATGAGGTGATTGATTGCCCCAGAGAAACTCAGAAGGGGTTTGAGGCATTGAGACAAAATGAAAAGATATTGTAAGACATATCGGCGCACCCTGCAGCACTGGGGATTCATCACACTCAGAAACAATGCTGTGAAAAGTAATTGTTGTCGAGGGGTCCTACTCTGCACTGGAGAGACGGCCACTGAGAGGGCCAAGTCAGAGGACGGTTCCTGTAGATGTCCCACCCCCCGCCTTTTACCAGGAACTACTGCGGTGGAAACGTGACTTATGTAGTTAAAAACCTATAAGTTCCTCAATGTCACTCATATCTTTTAGATTACCAGCCCTCACTTTCTGCACGTAAAAGAAAAAATATTTTCCAGATAGATAAGACAATATAGACAATATATATATGTTCACATGATGTTAAACATTAGGTACTACAGCTTTGAGTTGTTGTTTTGTCATTATAAAGAATACTAAAATGTACTTCATATGTTGATTAGGGTTTATTCAGGCCTTGAAGAATGACAATTAAATAATCGTTGCACATTAACACACATATTTTATTTATCATAAATCTCCTTTGTCCTTTTATTTATCTCTTTTTAAAAGGTCCCCTCCCCCATACTCTGGTGTGTGGATGTTGATGTAAAACAACAACAGAATACTGTAGTCTAAACTGACACACTACACATTAATTTGTATTGTATTGGGATATTGCTAAAACATCTATAGCTGTATCCCTAATATTATATCATATGATTGTCATGAATTGATCTCTAAACACCATTACATTTGTAAACTAGTGCCAGTTTTCCTTCTGTGTGACCTAATCAGACGTATTGTACTCTTGTATGTGAAGTAGGCAGTCCCCGGTTTGCCACCCCCATGTCCATGTGTGACGTCCCAGAAAGTCTGCACGAGTGCAGGGAGCGGGAGCCCACCATCGCCCAGCTGCTCCAAGAGAAGGCCCTCTACTCCTTCTCCGAGTGGCCCAAGGTACACTCAGGCTTTAGAAATACATTCACTTTTGTAAACACACAATTGCACACAATCACAACAGCACAACCGGTCCTATTATTAGTCCAGTGCAGCCTACTGGCTGAAGTAACTATGATACAACTCATTTCTTAGTCTACTAGTTTGGGTTTCTTTGGGGATAAATAACCCTCAAAAACAGAACATAAATACAAGTATTTAGCACTTTATCTCACCAATTCTGCTGTTACATCACACCCAGTCCATACAACTGGGAGATATTAATTTTGTCCATTTGTTAAGTTAAAGGGACAGGATATAAAATGCACTCTTAGTGGTCTGATTAAATCATTACAATCATACTTAGATTTCCAGAAAATTTTTAAACATGGAGCTCCTAACTACAGATTACTGATGCAAGCCACTTTCTGGGGTTTAGCTAGGAACGGTAAAATAAGATGAGATTAGATAAGATAGACTTTATTGATCACACACTGGAAAAATGTACATGTCACATTTGGCATAGAGTCACTCAGATTGTGAAAAAACACAGAAGTGTGCAAACATGTTAAAGGTTAAAATATAGTCTGAGCTGGATATAATTACTGTATGTACAATAAAAAAGTGGGAATAAAGAAAGAGTGACAATAGCAATGTTTTTACACACACATGTACACCTGCGCACACACACATATATATACACTTCGAGGCCCAAACACTCAGACCCTGTGACCCGCTCTGAAGGCAACACACTCTCTCCTCCACTTACTACTTCTCTACTTTCTTTAAAGCAGTTTTTAAAACGCAATCAGATTTGAAAAGGTTTTTGAATGTTTTGTTAATCAGTTCACAGTTAAGATATGGTCCTCTCGCTGAGACACACATTGATTTGAAAGTGTTTCTAATTTTAGGCACATAGATTTTTGTTTCCTCCGAATCTGTAATTATGGTGTTCAATATTGTAAAAAAATATTGGTTTGTGTTTGGCTTCTTTTGACCCTCTTTCCAGAAGTTCCATGGCTTTATCCTGGAAGAGCCCCTGAGTTACATATGTTTCCACTTTCTCACCCTAGCAGCCCGCGCATCATTTGTTCTTATGACATTGTGTAGAATATTGCTTCTTGAAATGTTACTTCTTGTTTTCTAACTTTTTGGTCACACCACTTGGCAGGACCGCGTAATAATAAACCGTCTGGACTCGGTTTGCCACGCCATCCTCAAGGGGAAGTGGCCCTCCTCCAACGAGCAGTATGACTCTCCTGCTAACGCCAGCCTGGCTAACAGCTTAGCTCAGCAGAGGGCGGGCTTCCTGTCCTCCTCCCCAGCATCTGCACCAGGACAGGCCCGGGTCCATGCTCCAGGGGCCGGCCTGAGCTTCCCCCTGCCTCCTCCCTTGACCAGGCTCCCCAAGGTGAGAACCAATAGGGGCAGATTATCTTGTCCTTTTTAAAACTTCATGAGTGAACCCATTTTTCAAGGTGCAACCCCACTGTCTATTTTAGAAAGCACTGCAAACATTCACAATATGTTCATCTTAGCTGTTTCAAAAACATAAACCATGTTATTGCCATTCGCCTGACTCTCGCCAGGCCCTTGTAGCTCGCTGAGCTTCACACAAGGGTCTGGAATTTCTCACTGGGAGATGTATTTCAGAAGGCAGGGCCTTGTAAAAAATATCATTGAATGTTATTGGATAAACCACTTGTCCGTTATTTTGAATGACGTGCTACTTCCACCACTCCCATCGAAGCACACGATTCAACACACGACTCCTCACCGCGTAAAAGGGTTGCCGGCAAGATTTTCCAGCCCAAAACTTGCGAGAATGCCCAAAAAAACCACCCAGACTGATATTTTTGGAAAAAAAATAATACAATCAACTTAGACTATCATGATTCTGTTTTCATGCAGGAAACCACCCAACCTGGCAACCCTGCTGCATAGTGAAGTTTGACAGGCGAAGCTAAACCACTACTTAAACCAAACTTTACACTTACATTGCACTCTTAAAACGCACATATAACACAGGATAATCAACATCTCGCCTCAAATTGTATTAAAAGTGACATCTGTGTGCACTAACGTTATTAAAAACTTTTTTTTTCAGATAAAACACATTAAAAGCCTGTATTTCCCACCTTTGCAATGTGTTTTTGTGTTATAGATAAGTAATAAATCAATAAAACAACTTTTTAATATCAACGCCTCTGATTGGCCAGAAAAATAATGACGTACTTGTAGGGGTCACAGCTCCCGCTTTACTGTTTATGGCATTGCTCCTGCTGCCGCTTTGACACAAATAAACCTTAAAATGGGTGTATTTTGTATGGCTCGGGGATGCAGCAATGAAAGTTACAAAAGAAGAGCCTAAACAGCAGTCCCTACGATCTTTTACTTATTCAGAGAAAGCCACGGCCCAAACAAACTGAGAGAAGACACCAGTTCCATGAAATTAGTTCTATCAAGCTCCAACTAAAACCAACTTTACACACACAATTGTCATTGAACCATGAATCCATGTTTCACTCTAACTATGTTTAGTAAAAGATATATGAAGCATACCATATTTTTTTTAGACTTTAGAACCACAGACACACGTTTGGTATAAGACTTTAGAACCACAGACACGCGTTCAGTATAAGACTTTAGAACCACAGACGCGTTCAGTATAAGACTTTAGAACCACAGACACACGTTTGGTATAAGACTTTAGAACCACAGACACACGTTCAGTATAAGACTTTAGAACCACAGACACACTTTCAGTATAAGACTTTAGAACCACAGACACACTTTCAGTATAAGACTTTAGAACCACAGACACGTTCAGTATAAGACTTTAGAACCACAGACACGTTCAGTATAAGACTTTAGAACCACAGACACACGTTTGGTATAAGACTTTAGAACCACAGACACACGTTCAGTATAAGACTTTAGAACCACAGACACACGTTTGGTATAAGACTTTAGAACCACAGACACACGTTCAGTATAAGACTTTAGAACCACAGTCACACGTTCAGTATAAGACTTTAGAACCACAGACACACGTTCGGTATAAGATTTTAGAACCACAGACACACATTCAGTATAAGACTTTAGAACCACAGACACACGTTTAGAATAAGACCATAACGCTGTATGTTTGCATTTGATTGAAGACACTCACCATTTCTCAACATCTGGAGCTATGACATAGAGTTGAGGCTTCTCTCTCTCTGAGTTGCGGGTATTGACGTGTTAGCTGGTGTTAGCGTGTTAGCTGATGTCCGTAAAAATAGTTAATCCATCTTGTCAAACCACCTCCAGACTTTTCAGTGTCGTCCACTTTTACGGCTCTGATCTTTCATTTCACAGTAGTCACTTTTACGCTTCTTAACTTTTCTCTGCACCACGATGTACTCCTTCGTCCCTAACGCTACCTACGCTAACACTTAGCTATTTACACTCACTCGGGTGCACCCAAGCCCTGGCGATCCAAGATGACGCCCTATTCAAATGAATGGTTGTGCTCAGTGGCGCTTTGTGACGGTATGGGGGCTGAAAGATTAGCGGAAGTCGCCTGGATCTCGCAAAGATCTATGGGAAACTCGGAAAGATCTATGGGAAACTCGGCTGTATTTGGGCATCGTCTGGTCCTCCCGGTTCTGCGCAGTGGATGATCTCCCACAATGCGTTGCGCCAAACACGCGTGTGTGGGTCTCACACCAGGTCTCACGGACGTGCACAGAGGGGCTCGGCCGCGCTCCGACCAATGAGAGCAGTTCATCAGAGCGGGAGTTAGAGCGCGAGCCAGACGAGCAGAGTTTGTGGATTTAAGAAGAAAAAAGTTCAGGATGACAAGGGACACTAAAATCCCCACAAAATCCGATCTTTATGAAAGCTGTAGGTTCTCTGTCAGCTGAGGTTGAGCTGTTTTAATATGCATTGAGTCCTATGGGGAAAATTTCTGGGTAGCCCACGTGAGTTTAGTCTGGTTTCAGTCTGCAGTACCGCAAGAATCCCCCGAGCACATGAGTTATTCAGCTACAAGCTAGTAATACCCTAACCAGTTATTATAATAGATCCATGGGTGCACCATCTAGCTCAAACTGACCGCATCCGCAAAGTGGGTCGAGACGGATCGGACCCAATCGGACCATGACATGACTCCAGCCCGTGGAAACGCCCCTAATGTCCACAGATGTCCATTTCTTGCAGATTGCTCCTTATCTGAATCGAGTCAGTCCTCAAAATCAGATTTACTGTCATAACAAGGGTGCAAGGGCTCATAAATAAAAGCCCCTGACTTGTATTGTACATCACTGAATAACAAATATCTGTTTAAAACGTCCGTATACAACGTTATGCCTTACAAATGCATATCAACAAAGCCCGATTACCCCTATGTGAACGTCACTTCCGGTCTCTGCAATTTTTCCGCGAATTTCTTTTTGCATAATATTTATTGATAGAAACCGCTAAGGGTATCTGTCAAAATGAGTTTTATTTAACACAAAAAAGACCACAATATACCAAAAAAAATAGATTAGGTCCCTTTTATACTTTTTTTTTAAGTTCATGGACTGTATGTCCGCTATCTTGGTTTGCTTTGGCTGCCGTGAGACACACAGGAGAAGGCGGTGCAATCCGACGTTATACCGCCAATCCTGAGGGGTTCATTATTTTTTGCTATCTTGAAGGAGTTTGCATTGGCGTCGATAACAGACCCTTGTGTTCAGCGAAATGCCTCTGGTGGAGCATGGCTCTGGCGAGATTCAGGCTGAGAAAATAACTGCAGTGAATAACAATAAACTATAAATCTTGCATTGCTGCTTTTTGTATCCAAATATATCCAAATAAGATAGTTATGCTTGAAAGTTTACACATGAAGCCTGATTTGTCAGTTACGGCTACATTTTAGAGATGAATGATGACGTTCATGTTAAAGGGGAAACAAAACAGCTTTTCTCCCATCACTTTATTGGAAGTATGTGCATGTAAATATCACATAAATCTATCCAGAAATAATCATGTTTTATCAGTCTACCACCTCAAGCTAATGCACGCTATTTCATCTTTAAAGTAGTCTGCGCCTTCACATTTTTTGCACAATTTGTGTGAAACCAACTTCAATCTCAAAAAACAGTTAAAATGGCCATCATTCCTATCCCATGAAATTGATTATTAAGAATGAATGAAGCTGGTGCTTAATTCATTCATTCTACAAGCTTCGGCCCCCCAGATTTACTGCACAGGCACAAAATCACCGCATTTAAACTAGGGCTGTCCAAAATAGCGCGTTATTAACGCGTTAACGCAAATCAATATTAACGCCGTCATTTTTTTTATCGCGCAATAAAAAAAAAAAAGAATTTTTTTTTTTTTTTTTTTTTTACTTTTTATTGCAGACAAACACATATACAGAAAAAAAAAATAGAAACAAAGAAAAGGACTAGTTCAGATACATTGTAGACAGAGATTACAAACAATATGTAGTTGGAGATACAGGGGGCCAAAGAAGAAACCCAGAAGGGCACATAGGAGGGGAGGGGGGGGGGGGGGGGGACATGAAGTGGGAGATGGGGGAGGGGTTAATAAAAAAGGCAATACAAGCAAACAGTATACAGTCATAGATATACCGAAGGTAAACAGAGAAACAGCATAGAGCAGTGTCTCCCAAAGTGGGGTCCGCGGCCCCCTGGTGGGCCGCGAGGGCACTGCAGGGGGGCCGCGGGAGGTCATAAAAAAAATAAAAAATATATATAATTATTTAATGTTAAATTTATAATGTTTTGTTTGTAATATTAAAATATTTGTGTTCATTATTTGACTTGAATAATCCACTGTAATCATTTTTGTATTACAATGTTTGTAGCAGAGGCTATTTCCCCAAAATAAAATAGCCAGAAGAGCCTATTCTTAATGTTGTCTTCTTGGTTATTATTTTGGGGGGGCCACGCAGACCCGTCAGATTTTTAAGGGGGCCTCGGTGTTACTGAGTTTGGGAATGGCTGGCATAGAGTATTTACATGAACAAATTTACAAAATATTTACAGATTGTTTATCATCATCATAATGACACCATGATGTTTCTATACAGTCTATGGTCTATACCCACACATACACACACACACCCACACACACACATTGAAGGGGCTTTTTGTTACCAATTATTTATTTTGTCATCCATTTATTGATGATTTTGCATCAAATGTTAGTGTGTAATATAACACTACACATTGTTTTCAATAAAAAAAGCAATTGCACACAGCACGCAAATGTGTGACTAATTTGCGATTAATCGCGAGTTAACTATGAAATTCAATTAAATATTTTAATCGTTGGACAGCACTAATTTAAACATAAGCATTCAACAAGTCTACTGTTGTTCCAGTTTTACTTGACATGAAGGTAAGGTGCCTGGTACAATGGCCTGGGCTCACTCTTGTTGTGTTGTTGCTGAATGTGAAGCTTTTTTTGGTCTTTGCTATGTGGATTGTAAATATTTGAATGTTTGTAAAAAGGCCTGGGTTAGTCTTCCAACAGTTGATACTGCTCAAGCTTCAAGTCATTAGTTGTTACATTAGTAAATAATTATCATTATAGAGGATTTCACTATGTCCCTCTTTGTGAGTAAAATAAATGATTGTGCTTTATTGTGTGAAGCTGGACTTCCCTTTGTGACTGATTGAGCTCAACATGGTGTCAAAACGTTATTGGCTGAAACCATCTATTGGCAGATGGTTTTATGTTTCAGTCAGGACCCATAAAATGTGCAAACATTAACTCTTCTGAGTTACATTTGAATAGCAAAATATGCAAACCCCAGTGTATTGTTTATTGAGTCCTGTATTGTGCGATTTGTCATAATTTAATTTAAAGTATTGTGTTTTGCTCCCCCCTGGACTGCCACCTTAATGTGGTGGGGGAGTTTGAATACTCGGATGATCCTGGGAGCTATGTTGTCTGGGGCTTTATGCCCCTGGTAGGGCCTCCCATGGCAAACAGGTCTCGGGTGACGAGTCAGACAAAGCACACTCCAAAACCCGCAATGGATAGCACAAAAAATAATACCCGTGATGTCGGCCAGCATGGCGCATCCGGGGCCCCACAGTGGCGCCAGGTCTGGGGTTGGGGCTCAAAAGCGAGCGTTGGGTGGCCGTGCCCTATCCCACGGGGCCTGGCTGGGCTCAGCCTGAATGGACGACGTGGGCATGACCTCCTGTGGACCCACCACCCACAGAGGGATTCCTAGCGAGTCGGTGCAGAGAGGACTGGGCAGCAGAGACCTCGACAACCCAGTCCGCAACACCTGGCTTTTGGGACGTGGAACGTCACCCCACCTCGTCGAGGAGGTTTGTACGATACTGACTAGAGATAGTTGGCCTCACCTCCACACACAGCTGGGGCTCTGGAACCCAACTCTTTGAGAGGCGTTGGACGCTCCACTTTTCTTGTGTTTCTCCCGGGGAGAGGTGGCGAGCGGGGATGGTCATACTCAGCCGCCATGTGTTGGAGTTTTCCATGGCGAATGAGAGAGTCGCGTCCCTCCGCCTTTGGGTGGGGAACAAGTCTCTCACTGTTGTCACGTCCTACGGGCCTAATTGCAGTGCTGAGTACCCGGCCTTCTTGGAGTCCTTGGGAGGGGTACTGGGCGGTGCACCACCCGGGGACTACGTTATTCTCCTGGAGGACATCAACGCCCATGTGGGAAATGCCAGTGACACTTGGAGAGGGGTGATTGGGAAGAACAAGCCCCCCTGATCTGAACTCGAGTAGTGTTCAGTAGTTGGAATTCTGTGCCAGTCAGAGTTTGTCCATCACAAACACTATGTTCGAGCTGTCAACCGATCACCTCATCTGGTTGTGAGTTGGATCCGCTGACAGAGGAGGAAGGCGGTCAGACCAGAAGCAGGGTCTCTGGTGCTGGTCCCGGTGGAAATCCCCTGACGCGGTGATGGACACCGATAGTAAGGGATTAAATCAAATCAGCCCCCTCTCACAGCTTTCTGTACTGTTTATATTTTGATTGTTTTTGTATATCCAGATATGCTCCCCAACAACTCACCATTCAGGTGTCTTCTACCCCCAAATATGGGTTAGGCTGGCGAGTAGCGCGCGTAAGAACAGATCAGTGTTGTTTCTGATCGCCTCTTTGGAGCCATGTTCGGATATGACGACAACCTAGCAACCAGATTCCGCTAATGGAGCCTGTTTGAGTTGGTTCTAATTTGCTTCTTCAGCATTATAGAAAACACCAGGGGTTACGTCAGCACTCGGTTACTCCACTCCTTCTACGGTCTATGGGTCATACATTATGTCTTGAAGGTGAATTTGCAATGCACCCTTGGCTCTCTATGTCTCTGCCCAGGCCTGTCCTCCACTGCTTGTTTGCGTCCTGTATTGTCCATGTGTGTCTAACAGCTGCATCTCTCTCCCACCCATCCCTGTGTCTGTCGCTCTGGTGCAGTTTGTGTCGCGGGGCGGGGCAGTCGGGAGGGGCGGAGCGTGGCGCCTCACCTCGTTGCCTCTGTTGCAGGAGAGGCTGGTGGCTCCTCCCTACCTGCCCGAGCTCAAGCGAGGGGGAGCACGCCGGCCTTTTGACTATGAAGCCGCTGCCAAAGCTCTAACCGGTAAGATGACCCCCGGCAACGAGAAATCGGGAAGTCCACATTGCCCGCTGCCCTTGCTGATGAACGGCTGGCAGGAGACGGCCATGGATCTGACCAAGTCTTCCGGAGGCGGCCAGGAGGAGGGCGCCAAGAAAGCAGCGCAGCCCCCCATCTCCGCACCTCTGCCCGGACTGGACATAACAGGGATCCTGCAGGCTGGCCTCATACATCCAGTGACAGGGCAGATCGTGAATGGCAGCATGCGGGGGGACGAGGCTCTGCGGAGGAGGAGGGGCCGTAGGAGGAATGTGGAGGCCCTGTACTCTGAGTTCACCAAGGGGAGAGGGCTGCCGGCCGAGTCACAGGTCAGTACTGGGGCTGCTCAATTTGTGTGTTTGTGCGCTGCCTGTCTGTTCATAAGCCATTACATTCCATTGTGTCTGTCCTGCACTCAAGGCTGGGCTTCTCAAACTCAGGTGCGTAGACGCCTAGGTGACGTTTTATTTTGAAGGTGAAGTCTGGGATCAGAGCACTTCTTCCTCAATGATTAAAACAAGGATACCTTAATTGTCTCTTTGAAAATATTAAATGTTGTTTGTCCCAACAGAGAGTCTTTTTAACATATCTGGCCACAACAGGCTTTTCATCATATTAGAATACATGTTATCTTAAAAACCCAGTGAGACTACTTTGGGATATGAGCTGATTGGCAGAGTGAGGGTGCTTCGGGATGCAACAATTAATTTTTGATATGTATGTTAAAATAAAAGGGGCGACAGTAGCTCAGTTGGTAGAGCAATGGTCTTTGGACCTAATGGTTGAGGGTTCGATCCCACCACGACCCATGTCAACTGCTGCCACTGATGTCTGCTGTCGTTGTGTCCCTGGGCAAGACACTTAACCCCAATGTGCCTGAAGTCCCCGCTGAAAGACCAAGGCTGCATCTGTGTCGAAGGAGCAGCCATCTTCCCGTGGACCCACCACCTGCAGGGAGATCAACAAGGGACTGGTGCTGTGTGAATTGGGTGGCAGTTCTGATTGCCACCCCCCTGACCCAGAAATGGAAAATAAAGGGATGTAAATGAAATGAAATGAAATGAAATGTTAAAATAACGGCCACGGTTAGCGGAAATTATTAGTTATCTTTACATCATAATTGTTTTTATTTTATTTTACTAACAAGCACACTACAGAATCATTAATTCCCAAACTCACAGAGAACGTTTGATGCACCCTGTGTGCGCGTTTTAGTCATTTTAAAGCTTTTAAAACAATTCACTTTGTGGATGATGTTAAACGTGTCTTTTTATCTCGTGGCCAAGTACATTTTGTTGCAGGACTTTAAAAAGCTAATTTTAATGGAAGCTTTGACGACGTCTCAACCAGTGGTTCACAAGTCTACTGACCTTACTATATTTGGTCGGAGGATATCTCCAAATTAATTTATCCAAGGTATTCTCTTTATATTTCTTCACATAAGATAATAAAGATTATATCTATTAATTTTACAGAATAGAACTCACTTGTCACAACTTGTCAAAGACTATGATAAAGGAGGCTTAAACTATTGACTTTGTCAATTGTTGGGGTCTTTTTAAAAAGAATTAGACACAATCTTTTCTTGCTAATCCTCAATTTATTGTATTGAGGATAGAATTCTTTAAGAGGTTAGAATTTGGTGTAGAATGTATGTTTTTCTAACATAAGTAAATTCTCTATTATTGGAAGATAGCATTTAGCCATAACTTTACTCAACATGGCTCTACCTTGTGGATCTAAAGATTATCCATCCATCCATTTTCTTCCCCTTAATCCATTTCTGGGTTGGGGGGGTGGCAGTCAGAGCTGCACCCAGTACACTTAGCACCAGCCCCTCACTGATCCTCCTGCAGGTGGTGAGTCCACAGGAGCTGAGATCTTTCAGTGGGAGCTTCAGGCAAAGTGGGGTTAAGTGTCTTGCCCAAGGACACAACGACAGCAGTCATCAGTGGGAGTCGTGAAGTAGGTCTTATGGTGGGCTTGAACCCACGACCTTCACGCCCAAAGGCCAATGCTCTACCAACTGAGCTACTGTCGCCCCCTAACTAATAATCTAAAGATTATTAACATCTAATTGGAAACCATTATTTATTCATATCTGGTAAACAAATATTAATGTATTATAATCTCAACCAGACAGTTCAGATCAAACATTTTACCTTATCGAAAACAAATAAATGATAATAATATTGAGAATTGTTGCATCCCTAGTGGTCCTCTCTTTTTGGCTTTTATGCCAAAATTACATGTGGTGAAAACTGGTATCGGCCTCAGTCGAGAGCAAGGTACCTCAGCTTGAATCCCGACTGCTGAAATATGGATAACCTCCTAATAAAAGTTATTTTCACGCAACGTTAGATGGTATACAGATTTATTTATCACGCACCCATCTGTGGAACAAAAAAAACTTATCCTAATAGAATTCTGTTTGTAGAAGATGGTCAGAACTTAATATTCCTCTGATCTTTTAGTTTTGATGTTCCTAATACACAGTACATTGTATAGTTTTTGCATTGAAATGTATTGTTTTCATTAGCAGTGAAATTATTTTATTCTATTGTTTTATTGCAGTACTGAATGTCGTTTTGTCTTTCCACATGACATATAGTTTCCTCTGTCTCTGCCAGGCCCGTGTGGAGGCTATCAGCCACTCGGCCGTGTCCTCATCCACCTCCTCCCCGTCCCCTTCCCCATCGGAGCGCCCTGCTGGCTCCTCCACCCCCACCCCACCCACTCATACCCCCCCACAGCCTGAGATCGTGGCCATAGACCGTGAGGCCGCCAGCAAAGGTCTGATCGAGTGGCTCCGGCAAAACCCTGGATACAGTATGGAACTGCCTGCGTTCGCCCACGTGAGTATTCCCATCCTATCAGCACTGTTAATGTGTCATTGTCCACGAGTGTATGCAAATGTTCAACTTCTTCACTCTTTAAAGCAGGTGTTCCGTTATTTCAGACCACACTAAATGGAACTATGTAATAGAGTAAATTAAAGACTGTCGCAGGACACACAATTTCCATGCCGGGTTGAAAGCCAATAAATAAAGATGAGATGAGGAGGAAGAGCATTCAAAATTTGAGGCCCAACTACGGAAACTTCTGATCCCCCCAGCTCTTGAGCCTTGTTTTGGGGACAACCAGCTGCAGCAATTTATAAATTAACTCTAAAACAAATAGGGAGCTAGTGCAATAAGGATACAATTGGTGTGATGTGCTCTCTACAGTGTGTGCCAGTTGAAGACTGTCATTCCAATATTGTCCATTCTCCAAATGCAAGTGCAAATTTTCAATAATATGATGACACTAAAGCAGGTCATGATCATAGTTCTGTGTGTGGGTGCTTGTGTACGTGCACGCTACAGACTCCAGGAGCCAGTGTGCTGCATGGGTTCATTGAGCGTCCCAAACAGAGGCGGCACCGCTGCAAAGACCCCTCCAAACTGGACGTAAACTCTCTGACCGGAGAGGAACGTGTGCCTGTGGTGCATCGCGGGACAGGGCGCAGGGTAAAGAACATAGTACATTATAGACACCACTGAGCTCTTTTAAAAGTATAACCACAATGTCCTTGTACTGTGCTGCTCCCACAGCTTGGGGGTGCTATGGCTCCTGCCATAAAGGAGCTGTCCCGCTGGCTGGACGCTAACACAGAGTACTTTGTGGCTCCAGACTGGTCCGACGTTGTCAAACACTCTGTGAGTACTACCACAAAAAATAACTAAATGATAAAATCCTAGTTCCTGGCACAGAAAACAGTAACTTCTGTATAACAGCCTTTTTACTTTCAATACATTTTAATTGACAATGGATACTGATTTGAACTATATCCATCTATATAATCATAATTTATTATTTTAATTTAATTTGTTTTTTAAATTAAATTAAATTTAATGCTTACTCAATAATAAATTTACTTTACTGCATACTATTCACATATGTATCCGCATTGCTGAAACGTTATGTATTAGGTGAGTATGTATAGATAAATAATAGGATAGATTATTTAGTTCCACACACTTGACCTGGATGAATATCCTGAAACTGCATTTGAATGAGCTACTCATAAACAAAGTATAATTTGAAGTTGACAACTAATTAAGTATTAATCATGAGTCTATAAAAACTGCAGGATGAAATCTAAATGTGTGTGAGTATAAAATAGTTCTGATTACTATCAATCAATCAACGTTTATTTGTAGAGCGCCTTTCCTACACAAGGCAACGCAAAGCGCTTCACATCCCCTATCACATCATGCATAAATCAAACACATTAAGAGCACAAGATATATTAAAAACATTAAAAATAAAATCACAAAAATTAAAAACCTTTAAACATTAAAATCACAGATGGGACTAAAATCATAAATAGTCACAGTGCATTAAAAAGATTAAAGATAAAAACAAAGATGAAAAGATAAAATCATTCAGTTGTATATTACTATCAAATAACCCATTGTGCAACAAGTAATCTTTGTTTAGGTTAAATACAGAAAAAATCCCATATTCACGGACATTCATGATTCAAACAACTAATCGATCAATCAAAGAATCAGTCAGCTAATCAAAAATGAAAAAAGTTAATTACAGCCCTAATAAAGTGTGTGTTTAGTTTGTTCATCTCGTCTTGTCCTCCTCAGGGTTACTTACCCGAGGGGAAGTTCTCTCGCATCCTGACTGAACCAGTGAACCGGGACGCAGCCAGGCGGCGTGGCCGCCGCCCCCGTAGCGAAATGCCCAAACCCCTGCTGTCGGTGTCGGACGCCCCCCCCACCACCCTCGGCCCCCCGATCTTCATGAACGGTGGTCTCATCGGCAGCATGGACACAATGGTGGCTATGCAGAACTTGCGAGGAGCCACCATCCCTGGTCTGCCCATCTCTGGTGTCATGGCGGCGGGCTTTCCCCACGGCTTCCCTGGGGCTTCTTCATCTTCGGAAGACGCTAAAAACGGACTGAGCATGCTACCGATGATGCTGCACGGAATACCTCATGGGGCTACTATTCCGCAACACGCTATGCTAAGTGTAGGTATGATGGCGCACGCTCCACCCACTAAAACGAACCAATCCGACTCGGCTAGCCCTAATTCTTCATCTGCTGAGAAGGAATTGTCTAGTGCAAATGAAAAGGATAAAAGCAAAGACGAAAGCAGCGACGTGAGTAAAAAATCCCCGACAACCTCAGCGGCAGCAATAGTGGAACAAGCTGCCATTATAACATCCACCAGCAGGGGGCACATAGGCACGGCACACAGCAGTCACCTGACGTTTAACCCTTTCCTAATCCCGGGAATGTCGCACGGCCTGCTCTACCCGCACATGTTCCTGCCGCACGGGGGCATCATGGCACTGCCAGCCATGCCACCCGGAGCTGTGGACGGCGTCCCCCCGGGAAGTCCCAAGAGGAGGCGCAAGAAGGAGGACGAGATGGGAGACGAAGGCAAGGAACTTAAAGCTGGCACAAGCTCGCAGCCGCTCTCCCAGACGCCTCCTCCCGCAGAGAATAAAGGCAAAACACAGGAGAGCCAGGACTCGCAAGAGGATGCCGCGTTGTCGGGAGATGCGCAAAAGCAGGAGGTGGCGGAGGAGCAGAGACAAGCCAACGGAGAGGAAGGCTGAAAATCTCCAATCTCATTTCTTGTAAAATTTGTGCTGTGTCTGTCAGTTATAATGTCCATATAAAGACTTTTTCATTATGACAGTTCAGCGATGGTGACGTCTCACTTGGTTATGTTTATAATTCTTCTTCTTGTACACAAATACTAGCGCAAGAGACGGGAACACAAGACACCCATCTACATATTCTTTGCATCAGGCATCATCAGATCATCCAGTATGAGGGAAACAAAACCTTGTCATAGACTTTGGACATGCAGGGACAACGGAAACTCATTTCACCACATCACGGGATTTATAAGTTTGTTTGTGGGTTTGAAAGCCTGGCACACTCCGATGTTTGACTTTGCATTGTCGGCGTAGTGGAGAAAAAGAACCAGCATTCCTATGAAGATGTGACCCTGTAGAAAATGTTCGCTTGGTATATTATTATTGATGGAAATTCCAAATAATCCAAATTCTCTGTTACCAGCCCCATGTGACCTGAATGTCAAAACAGATTTCCAGATGTTTGTGAAAAATCGTTATTGAGTGGTATTCAAGGTTGAATGTATGTTATCTTCAGTAAATGACACTAGTCTTGCATTTGTTTTCTGAAACGGATCAAGATTATTCATGCAAAAAACATCCGGTGAATTTGACAGCACTGAAACGTCATCAGAGGAGGCCCAGAGGTTTTCTGTGCCGTTTGAAATCCACAAATCCTCTCCAGACTCAAACCTATCTTTTCAGCTGCCAAATCTCGTTCATTCCATTTGAATGGTTTGTTTCCGCATGTGATGAGTAGGTAATTGTTTTAATAGCGCATTGCACAGACCATTTTTGTATAATTTTGCAATATCCTAAACGATGAAAATACTAAAGATTATGTTAAAGATCAAAAACAATGGAAGCAATAAGGTGTGACTTTCCATCATTCTATTATAACAGACAATAATAATAATTACAATTGCCCACCTCACATCAAAGAATCATATAAATACTTATTTCATTCTCTGAAGATAATACACGTTCCAACCATCCTACTACCCAATAATTATTGAGTAAATGTTTAATTTTAGCTTGAGAGTGATGGTAACTTGGAAATATTCTTCTTTTATATTTGCTTTAAGTCATTTAGAGCAAAGAACAATCATGAGATTAATTCAATGTTTTGAATCATGCTTTTTAGTTTTTAGTGCAACACACTTTGTCACTTTGCAAAAAAAACAACACAATTCAAGATGTGTTTTTACCACCAGATGGCAGTATACGACTGACTGTAATTCAGTGTTTCCCTAAAGATACATAAATTGCCCCAAAACGAATTTCTGCACAATGTTGGAACTTGTAGCATCAAATTCCTTGTTTTTCTTATATCTTTTTGCCTAACATTGTCCTGTGCACTTTTCAATGTTGAAGTTTCTGTGTGTTTCTATTGAAAGGGAATGGACAGCTGAACCAGGAGAAGGTTTTGACAGAGTGCCTCATATGTCTCATTACTGTCGCACTACGTTTCATTATGTAAATCTGTCGCTGTACATTGCTCTTTTTATTTTTCCCCGTTTATAATTTGCCTTTGAATTCTTCAGTGGGAAAAAATAATACTTGACTTTGAGCTTACAATACTGTGCATAAGTATAGGAAGACGTGTTTTAGCGATTAGCCACACATGCCTTATGTTAAAAAAAATTTGCAAGAACATTCAAAATGTGTAATTATTTTGAATAAATAGGTAAGAAAGTGTTTTCCAAGCCAAGGTCATCTAAAGCGCTTTACAATGTTCAGATATCAGATATCTTCTACACGTATGCTTCATTCCAGCTGTTTTCGAAGGTATCAGTAAACTTGAGTCTGTTTGTTGCTTCCTGCTGGCAACATAAAGAAGGAAATGTGTTAAAACAGCTATTTAGCAGCGTCAAAGAAATATCAGTAGAAGCCGGTATGATGGATGTTTTTCAAATTGACTTCTTTGGGGTTAGCCTCGCACATTAAACAAGAAAAAAAAAAAAAAATCAACATGAGAGTACATCAAGTATAGAGATTCTGAATTCATTCAAGTTTTTGGATGATTTATAACAATTGCTTAAATAATTCTGAGATCAAAATTCAAAATAAATTTATTTCTCACCAAAAAAATGAAAAAGCAGTTCCAGGACAAATATGTTTTTACCAAGTGATTTGAGCATCCTCAATAGCCAAGATCGTTGCCAGGTAAAATATCTCAAATTGTTTGTGCCTCAATATAAAAATAGTCTAATTCTCACTGCATTAACACAGGCATTTTGACCAAACCACAGGCTGCTCTTTTCTTACATACTGAGCTACATGGGCTGAGTTGGAATTCAACCTGCCTTGCGTCATTTTGACGGTTTCAACATGTTGAAAAACAGTCTGTTTTAGTGAAAAAATAGTGGAATCTCTCACATGCGCTTCACCTGTATGTTTCACTCCAAACTGATTCTTTTGCACAGTATTGTAGGCAGTGGATCAAAAAGCGTTTACTGTACATTGAACTGGTACAAGCTGTATCATCTTTGCACCATCGTGTCCTGACAGGGTTCTCCGTGACGGTGGGAAAGGTGGACTCTTTTGTGTTTTTAAACGTTTGCCCACTGAAACCTTTTTTTGCACATTGGGAATGTTTGGGTTATCACATATGGGGCGGTGTGGTCATGCATGCGCACACGCGACACTTCTGACTTTTGTCTCGTCCTCACATGACAAAATGATGCCTTGTTACAGATGTAGACGTAGACAATAGTGGACCAAACAGACTGGATTCCAAAAAAGAACACCAACATGAACACTCAGATTCAAGTAGAGGCCAAAATATCTGTGCTTACTATGCTGTACTGCTAAAAAATGTAAGTCAGAAAGATAAAATGTTTATGGTTATTAGTTAAAAAAAAAGAAGAGAAAAGTAGGATTTTCATTAAATTGGATTTGTCTATATATCTCGTCCAAAAGTAGTGTGACTTAGTTTCCAGTGTGTATGAACCACAGTTTAATGCCAAAAAGTTAAAAGTTTTACTTACCAAAATGATTAAAAAAAGATTGGAAATAAATGAAACAAGGTCAAACACTTTTCGTATATATTTTTTCAAATTTAATATCAATCCAGCAATGTCCTGCAACGATCCTCTAACGTCACTCGTTTTGAATCCGTCCTTCTGTCCACTTAATTCTACCGTCTACTCTTGAATGTGTGGCTCCATTTTATTTATTTTATACTTATCTGTTGTTTTCACCAAATATGCCATTTATTTTTCTTTACTCGTTTGATATATTATTCAAGTTAATGCCTTATTTATCTCTGTTTTTGTTCTGTTTTTTGTTGTTTTGTATAGTGGCTCTGTTACATGTCCATATATTGCTACTATTTTGTCTCGTATTGGTAAAGAGTGTTGTCTTAAAGAACCTCCAGCAGAAATGCGAAGGCTCCACTGTCCCGGTCAATCATTTTCCCTATAAAAAAAGCACATGCAGTTAGAGATAGCTGCTCTGATCAGTGCCTCGAAAAATTAAGCCTATGTATTTTTGTTTGTATTATTATTAGGCTTCAATGAAATTCTGCCAATGTCAAGGGGCCATTCATGTCTGTTTTTGTCAAATGAGCACTGCAATGAGTACATGTAAGTAGTTTTAAACACCACTTAATTTGTCATTTTCTGCATTTGACCCATCCTTCAATACTGCTAGGGCAGGGATTTCCAAACCTTTAAGTAGGAGGGCCACTTTAGTTCACCAGACTTGCCCAGGGGACGACCCCTCGTATTGTAAAACTTTGACTGTTTTTGGGCTGTTCTGAGCTGTCCATATTAATTCACATTTGACAAGCTGAAGTTGACTAAAGGACAAAAGCCTTTCTCACCAGCTACATTAGCGACATTCGTGCCTCAATTGAAAACAAATGTCTGCATAGTCAACAAATGGATTCAGGCGGCTCTGAGCTTTACAACATGCTGTCTATATTGGCGTAGCTGAAGCTGGCTGGATGATACTGTGAACATCCCTTGCTCTAGGGCTTCTTTCAAGAGTAATGGTCGCTGCACTAGGCCCATTATTGATAAAAAACTTTTGATTTTAATTTTACAAAATGAAACCAGACTAACAGGAAAGTTAGTCTGCTTAAAAGAGCTTTCACTTTCTTTAGGGTCCTCCGGTGTAAAGGTTTAAATGCAGGGAGTAAGAGTAGTATGTTAAGTATTGCTACCTCTTTCAATCCAGGACTTTGTATTTGTATGTTCTCCCTGCGTCTGTGTGGATTTCTGTGCTCCGCTTCCCCCCACAACCAAGAACATGCTCCATTGGTAAAATTCTCCAGCTTGACTAAGGGAGGTTGCAATTTAGTGACTACTGCTTTAGACAGAGTGGCAGAGTGGCCTCTAGTGGGATGAGTAAAATGCAGAGGACAATAAAGTGTTCCTTACCTTAACCTCGTACAATGTCGTACAAGGTTATCCTGACCAAAAGCAATGTAATTTAAATTCTAATTAAACATGCTAACTCAAAACTTCATTACTGAAAATTGGTATCTGGATTTTCATGGCTCGGATTATATTCAATTTGATACGTTCTATGCACAACGGCATTGAGATCTTTTTTGAAATCTTAAGCTAGATTACTGTGTGTTTAATAGTAGTCAGGCTATTTTGTTTGTCGCAGCTTCAATATTATTCTTCAAAATGTCCATTTGCTTTGTGACACAAGCAACTGCAACTTTGAAGTGTATTCTGGCGAAGTACCCACAACTGTAACACATTACACACACTTTTTAGCCAGTTTAGCAACTCTGTCAATGTGCACAGAGCGTATTGCATTGGAGAAAAAAATCTAGTGTTTCAACAACTTTACATTAACGTGCCAATCTGATTGACCTAAGTGCAATTCTCTCAACCCATTTCAACTAATATGTAAGTAAAACGCGTCAATACTAATCAAAATGCAGTAATTTAATAAATGAATTTCCTAGATTTAGCAGTGTTCTATTTGGCTGCAGCTGGTAATGGTGCGTTGACTGA